GTAATAGTTATCGATAAGTTCTACAGACAGCCTATTGGTTAGGCAAACACCTATGGTATACGTGATCATCTACCTATCGTTGTGTATGATTGTTATCGATACGTGTTTGTAACTACCCTTCTTTTAAGAAGATATATATCGATAGCCAATGGCTCAATCTTATCGAATGATATGATAGCTATCGACAAATTGTTCGCCAGCATATCGTCCTGGGGAACCCATCGTTATACAAAGCATCAAATCGGATCGGGGCCAACCTCCGACACAAAGATTCAAAAATATTCGCCGACCGCGATGGGAAAACGGGAACCATACATTCCAAAGAAAAGTTCACCGACCGCGATTAGAAAAAGTAGTCAAGATTCCAAGATAACAAAAAAGCGCCGGCAATCAACGAAGTGCGGTGAATTTTGCCGAACAATCACCCGATTAGCGATTACATGTTTGCCGAGCTGGCGATCAGATTACGCGCCCTCGCGCCCTCTACCCATCACCACATTACACCACCATGGCCGATCCCGGTGATGGCCAGCATGCTGGCGCATCCTCCGGCACCCAGCGCACGCCACGTCCATTGAGTGGGCACCACACACAGACCTCGATGAACAACTATCTGCCGAATGACGGCGGGGGTGGTGGAAGTAGTAGCCGTAGCGGTAGTGGTGGTAGTGGTAGCGTCGAAACGCGAACCGCCGAGCGGGAGACGGATGTACACAAACTGCACTTTCCCAGCGACATACCAGCCGATGTTAAAACGGCTATCCTAGACTACCAGCCGCCGAATGGGTACTCGATCTGTTCCATCCACAACGTCAAGTCGAAGCCGAGCTTCATTTGCTTTTGGGGCGTGCGGGTCTCCAAACTGCTGGACGGCAAGAAGAAGAGTTACTACAAGTGCATGGCAACACACACCTGCCGTGCGACCAACAAACTGCTATCTTGCTCGGGGTCGACCACTGGGGCTACGGAGCATTTGAAGAAGGTCCATGACATCGAGAGCGCCACCAGCGCCGACGACAAGAAGTGAGTGCTTTCAGTTCTAGGAGGTGATGTTTCTTGAGTTCATACTCCATCGAGTTTTTTTTCTGTTGGATGGGGTGTCTCGTTTCTGTGGTGCATGTGTTGGCGTTTCTGTTGTGCATGTGTTGGCGTTGGCACTGGCATTCTCCATGACGAGACCTGCAATCGATGAGTTACAGTCGATGAAGTACTGTTGGTGGTTGTTGTGCTTGTCACGCTGAAAACAAAAACGCGCCAATCGTCCGCTGGTTGTAATCTTGCTTGCGAAAAAAATGCAGAAAGCAAGACACGTTGGACAAGGTCGACCAGGTCAAGCAGAGCATGATCTACAACTCCGACAAGGTCCGCCACAACATGCTCGGCTTCACGAAAGCGTTCGTCATCTACGCCGCCTCCTCTTTCAGGCTGGTAGAGCAAGTGCCAATCCGCCATTGCCTCGGAGTGATGGTCCCCAAGGACGAGCTCGAACCGGCCCGTCTCAACAACAAGTCGGTAAGTCTTTCAGTTCATGAGGAATCTCTGGGGGAATATGTGTGGTGGTGTGCTGCTGTGGACCAAGCTCCTTATACCTTGGATGATAAGGCTAAGAATAGGACCGATCGCCGGCGATAAGGTGGGTTTTAGGGCCTATCGATAGGAATTGGCGAACGCAATAGGTTTGTAGCTCGGCTTGTTGATGATTTTGGCAGAAAACGATAGTATTCGGAGACACTTGTCGATATCCTGTGATGCCGATCAACGCAGTCGCCGACACGGTGATCAGCACCCTTTGTTGGCGAAGACAGGGTTCGGTGAAACATGCGGTCAGTTGTTGTACGTCCAATAGCATCTTATCGCTGGCGATCAACAGCTATCGTTGGAAAGCAATAAGTTGGCGAAGAACCGGTCGATGCTGATCGCACTCCGCGATACTGTTTCGACATGACATGTCGATGCCCATCTGTCAATGATGATAAGATCCCATCACCAGTAAGAAAGCCTGTCGATTTTAAAAGTGTCTACGTGTGTCTAAATATCTACTTGTCTCCTCACCTCACATGTGTATCACACCCACGCTGCACTCTCTTAGCCCTTAGCCCTTGCGGGGGGCTTTTGAATCTGATGAAGGGCGCCGGCGGCGCCGATTTTGCGATGACGACAAAGGCATCGCCAACGACACGACGAAAGACACTCCGGTGGAGGAAGACCCCAGGAAGGAAGCGGAGACCATCATGAAGGCGTGGCTCGCAGCTCAGGTGGTTATTGCATTTGCGCATGGGTTGTAGTTTTGCTGTCGGCCTCGGCGACACGGCTTGTACGTGGAACAATGATTGAAGCCAGTCCAGATCAGCCCCCCTCACCCCACCCGTAGGTGGTGGTGCCGTGGGGGTTCATGTAAAAATAAATGAAAACACCCAAGCGCATGTAAACCTCTGTCCCGGTTCAAAGCACTGCTCTACTGTCTATACATAGTTTCCAGCACATGGTTCGGTGCAAAAATTACTTTATGACATTATTTTACGTGCATTCAAATGCGCGAGTTGGGTACCTGTTTTTGGAGAAACTCCAAAGGGGGCTCTAATTCTGAGAAGAAACACCTCCCTCGGTTTGTTGAATAGGCGTTTCGATAGTATTTTTTTGCTTGCCAATAATCCACGGGCTCGACTTAAAGGCCATGGCCGGCTTCACACTTGTATGCCCAAGGTTCAACGCTCGCGATCAACGTTTTCGCATCCATGCACAGATTCCAAAAGAGGAGCGGAAGGAGAACGTAGCGGACTACTGGCGTCTTCACGGCAACAAACACCCCTTCGCCCTCCGATTGGTCGTGCAGGTGGTGTACGGCGTCCCTGCCTCAGCGGGTGTGGTGGAGCGAGATTTCTGCATCGCGGATATGTTCATGCCCCACAAGCGCGCCTCGCTTGATCCAGCCAACTTGGAGATGCAGCTCTACCTACGAGCGCACTTTGACCGCATCCCCATGGACATCCCCAGGCTGAACGACGCTGCCGTGGCAGCCGCCATCCCGAACCGTTTCACGGACCCACAGGCCGTGAAAGACTTGCAGATCTTGGAGGAGGAGAAGGAGGTGGCGGTTTTCGACTTCGTGCCGGAGGAGGAGGGAGATGACGTCGACGGCGCGGACGCGGACTTGCCCGCTGGCGGAGAAGGGGTGGGGGACAGCTAGACACACTACACCAGTTTCGTGCTCTAACCACTTGGTGCAGGGTTTGTTTTTCCTGCGGAAGGCGTAACATTTGTACGCGTGCCGACCTTCCTTGTGCTTGCATTTGTTGGTGTTCCGTGTTCCGTTTTAGCATTCTCAACAAACGTGAGCAGCACCTAGGGGTATGAAGGAGCGGGCCTGCCGTCGAATCGGGGGCCTATGCTACAATGTCTAGTGATTTTAATTTGAACAAGTCTCGTAGACGGGCCTCGGCAATTTTGTACATGCGTATTCGGGAACACAATGGGTGGGTCTGTGGTGCGCACACCGGGCTGTGCTTCGTCGCTGCATTTCTTTCTCGCGGTTTTCTGGCGTTGAAATTAACGCTTATAGAAGAGTAGACTTGTATAGCGAATTTCAACGCCAGAAACGTATCGACAACTATTACGCGCGACGATAGGTTTTGGCAGAAACCTATCGCCATCCTTCGAAGGCCGTACACAGGTGTGGGAAATTCCTGCCGCTGCTCATCAAAGTGGACCCAACGAATTGATACGCGAGGGACCCGACACACCGCCAGCACCAATAGTGTGAGGGCCCGACATATCGCCAGCACCGATAGCTATCGATATGTCAGAGCCGAACTTATCGCCATGTCAATCGATGCCAACAGGCCCCGCCCCGATATATCGAGGGCGGCAATAGGTATCGATAATATTAACCGTCCTCTACTGGTCTAAATGATATTCATCGATGTCTTCGCGGGAAACTTATCGCGATGAACGAAACAAGGCGATCGCATAGCTCTCAATCCACTTGGTGTCCACGATAGGCATCGATAGGCGCTCTGAAAATCTTACCTCGTCGAACGATCTATATCGATATGTTTTGAGTGGAAGCATCTTTCCCCGTGATAACTACCGATGGGTAACCCTATTATCTTATCGGGACCACAAATTCCAATCGATCGGATGATGGTTGACCTATCGGTGGGTCGATAAGACCTATCGTCTATCTGATCGTCTGTGGTGTGCTCTACATACAGCCTTGCCCAGGCATTGCTTTCAAATCTGGTCCTTTTTTCTCACGGCTCCATGCTCTCCATGGAAAATAAGCCGACACACAACAACAGTCACGAAAGAAAAAAAGGCGCGTCACCGAAAGCGCCACAGCAGTTCGAAAATACGCAATTCGGATGCCGGCCTATTGTACATGGCCGGGGTGCGCGATCTGAGCACTGGCATGTTAATTGGCCAAGCACGCCGGGCGGCCCGCGTGCTGTTCTCTCAGTTTCATGTCTGTATGGAGGCGTCGGACGACAGGGAATTAGACCAATTGACGTGGCCGGGACGCGCAGTCTGAGCGCTGGCATGTTTACTCCTGTTGATGGCACAACCTAAATGCATGAAACACCGAGGTGACCGTCACCTCCTTTCCGAATGTCAATACGGTCAAAGGCCGTGGTGACCAACTCCATTCAACACCACCTCCACTATTTTGCGAAACACGTTCCAGCGCATAAATCGACCGGCGGAAGATTAAATGCCAAGCACCGGTGCGCACGCCACGAGCGTGAAAACAAGGCGAATGATACTGGATCGAACTTGTAAAAATTGGAACTTGTAAAATTGCGTGGTTCATCGCTAATCATAGTGCCTCCGCTTTCGAGCCGTCCTTTGGTAATACTTGTTGTTGTCCTTCATCCTCTGGGATAAAGAGAAGCCCATAATGGCAGTTTAGGGGAGCACGTTGGGGCCACTGATCGTCTTCTCCACGTCGACGTTGCCGTCGGCTGTATCACCAGCAACGGCCAGCAGGAGCGCAAAAAAATGGGCTACGCGCTCGTTGGGCGTGTTCTAGGGAGTGTGACAATACTCAGCCCCGTCAACGAAGTCAAGTGAGACAACCGGGAATCGAACACTTGTTTTCAGCATTGCATTGTAGCTATAATTTGCTGAGCTTGAAAGAGTAAATTTAACATGCGTGTATTCCTGATGGCGGGAAAACGAGGTGGAGACAGAAAGGATCTGTTGTGCATTCGCCACTCGCAAATAAGGAGCATTCATGGTCACAGACTTAAGCATTGCTATGGATTCTCACAGGCCCCCTCAGCGGCAGGAAGATCACTGTCACATATTGTAGCATCACCTTCCTTGACTTCTTGGACGGCGGTGCTCGACCTGCGTTCACGAGGGAAAAGCACAACAAGAAATGAGACTGGAGCATACGTGGGTGTGATGGGGTAGAAACAGGTTACGAGAATGTAGAGGCTGGATCCTAGGTTCAAATCCAGTTGGGCGTGCGTACCTTCCTCCGCGTCGGCTGCCCCCCTCTTTGGCGGGATGGTATTCGGCGAGCTTTCTTCATCAGCTGCATTTCGGTTGCCTCCGCCATCTCCGGGTGTACTACCGCTGCCCTCCTTGCTGGCGTCTGTCGACCAACAGCATCGTGCGCAAACAATACACAAATTTTAGACGGACCATGGCGTCGCTGTACACACGGGCGGCCGGCACGAGCAAACATATGACGCACAATTCGGACACGCAGCACACACATGCTCATACGTTCACACCGGGCAATCCTTTGAACTCTTTGCCGGGTCGTCCTCACCAGCTGCGTTCCCGGGTTTTCGTCCATGAGATGCGCCTGCGGTGCCTCCGCCATCTCCGGGGGGACTACCGCTGCCCTCCTTGCTCGCGTCTGTCGATCAACAGCATCGTGCACAAACAATACACCAATTTTAGAAAAAATTCTACAAAATGTTAGCGGACTACGTCCAGCCTGTGAAAATGTTGTTCCAGGGTGGACTGTTGTAGACACACTAACCCTCCCTCGCCGTCCCAGCCTACAGTGGCACAAAATCGGCAATCCGTTTAGTTCCTTTGTATCGTTTGTTGGTTCTTGTGGGGTTGTTATTCAACGTAGGGTACGGTATCTTCCGTTTATCAAAAAAAAAAAGCGTAAAATCGCGTAATCTTTTGTGTAGGATAAGGTAGGGATGTTAGGCTAATGGTGTCAATTTGTAGGGTCAGTGAGTAGGGATAAGGTGCGTGGCATCTATGTATTTGGGGTATAGGATGCACAGCAGGGTTGTTGAAGTTGCGTTATTGCCTCACAAGGTTTGTCTGCTGTAGGAAGAGTTCTCTCGCAGGAGTTCAGTTTTCAATCAAGACCAAATTTTGACGAAAGTGTGGGGGTGGGTAATGCACAAACAAGACATGTTCACAGGATGAAGTTCCTTGGCGTATGTGTGGGGTTATCATCAGTGCATCATTCTTCCGTAAGGGTACGCTCAGTAGGTGTGGGTGTGGAACCACGAGACCACCGCAAATCGTTTTACGCGCGCAAATTGTAATCAGGTTCACGCAACAACAGAAGTTTTGGTATGTATGTACAGCAGTAGTACTTCCCTGTCGTCCGATGTCAGGAAGCAGTCCACTCGCAGCAACAATTTTAGACGGACCTCGGCGTTGCTGTACACACGCGCGGCACGAGCAACTTACACACAATGCCGGACACGTACACACATGCTTACACGCTCACTCCAGGCAATCCACACCTCGGTTCTCCTGCCCCTTTGAACTCTTTGCCGGGTCGCCTCCACCAGCTGCGTTCCCGGGGTTCCCTCCATGAGATGCGCCTCCGGTGCCTCCTCCATATCCGAGGGAAGCATCGCTTCCGCTCTTGCCGACGTCTGTAGATCAAACAGCACCATGGTTGAACAACAAACCAGCGTTTTAGACGTGGTGGTCGCTGCACACAACCTCCCAACGACACGATTAGGTAGACAACCACACATGGGGGATCACATGTCGTAGGCGGGGGTAGTCTCATATTTCCACGGGATGCAAGTCGACCGATGCAGCATCAAGTGATCGAATGCAATACTTGTGCTGCCTGCATGCAGAATTTTGATGGACAAATTGTGGACAGGTCTGGTCTCCGCAGGCGAATACCACACAATGCTCTCCTCGTCAAGTCCCTGCTGCTCCTCTACAGCGGGGGTCGGAACTGCTGCTAGCTTGCTGGGGGTGATCCGCGCAGCTCCCGCACAGCGGTGTCATATGATACTTTGGGACATAGTATGCTGCTGTCGTGCGGTTGCGAGCTCTTGCACCGCTTGAATGTTCACAAGGGCCACGATCTGCATGATGTCGATTGCTCTTTGTAGCAGTCAACAGTCTAAATCAGACTATTCAACCACCTCTCGACCAATCTCGACACCCGTTGTAGAGGCGAGGAAGAACGAGGGGAGGTACTTGATGGATTTGCAAGCCTGCTGTCATATGTAGGTGAGGAGACGATACATCACGGCGACTCTATTCGTTTTGTCATGTTTCCTCTTGGCAAAATCATCGCGCAGCTACCAACACAACCGTATCTGTAATGACGGAGAGTTGTATCCTATTAGCTGTTTCTGGTCAGCAGTGGGCGATAAATGCACCACATTTTCTCGGCCCAATTGCCCAGGATTTACAGCCTTGGCTGTTGCTCGAGATATTGTGCAAAAAAGCCAGGCTGTTGCCTGTTATGCAGTGAAACTTGAACCAATCTAGTAATACACTGTGTTCTATGATTCTCGCCGAAAGGACCCCATGTGTGAGCGTCCTCTGCAGCGGAGGCAGGTAGGGCACTCTGTGACAACATATCAATCTTGTGTGCCAAACGACCTACTCCGGAGTACTTTATTTCGTTTTGTATTGAGTAGCAGGACCTACCTCTATATCAGCTTCAAGGTGGTGTGCTTCTCGCCGGAGGGGTTTCCATCGTGCTCTCTCTCTCTCTGTTCCGTCAGGACGCTCGTGCTCGGCTGGCAAAGCAGGCAGGGGGGGGCACACCAACGGTGACAAAAAATTAAGCTGGGTAGAAGGGTATGCCGCTTCATTCACTGGGCTCCCACCCGATCACCGCCTCGCCGCCGCCGCCGGCTTCCTGCTGCTGGCCGCCCCCTCTTGCCTCACGGGGCAACTACGCTACCATGTCAAGGCATTGTGTGTCGGTTCTTCTCCTGATTTGTATCGCTCAAGCATGCCTGGCCTTCGTCCCGAGCTGGACTGCGACGTTCAGGTCGTCACGCTCGCAGTCCCCTGCTTCAACGCCTGCGGCGGCGACGTCTTCGCTCTCGCAGCCCTCTGGTGCGACCTGCCTTGTGTTCGGGACGTTTGGCGCTTGTGGGGCGCACATGATGTACCCGGTGCGAGGGGCGCACATGATGTACCCGGTGCGAGGGATCACGAGCTTGAGCGCGCTGAGCGAGGGCAACGAGGAGGAGGGGGGCGGCGATCATGATACGCGAGAAGCGGCCGGCGGCAGTCCGGCGGCGGACGAGATCCGTGCGGTCCAGGATGAGATCCGTGGTGTCGAGCGCAAGATCGAGGATGTAGAGAAGGAGACGGAAGAGGTAGCCAAGAAGATTGATGATATTGAGGCTGCTATTGCTGGGGGCTCCGGGTACCTCGGAATGACCGACCCCGAAGCCCTGTTGAAGCAACTACGCACGAAGGAGGCGAAGGAGAAGCAACTACGCAGGAAGGAGGAGCAACTACGCAGGGAGAAGGAGCAACTACGCAGGGAGAAGGAGCAACTACGCAGGGAGAAGGAGCAACTACGCAGGGAGAATGAGCAACTACGCAGGGAGAAGGAGCAACTACGCAGGGAGATCCGCGCCAACAACGCCCCGGCAGGTACGGAAGCGTCCCATTATGTGTGAAGATCCATACAGCAGTTTACAGAGGAGGAAAAGCAGCCCGCAATAAAAGCAGACCGTTTGAAACAATCCAGGAGTAGTACCTCGTCGCCGGTACATTTGTAGTGATGACCTTTAGCACGGGCAACTCGCCTCCTCTTCAAAGCAATCTGCGGACGTAATGGTAGATCCACACTCCTCAGCAACGACAGTATGTACGACCTTTTCGTGTCCCACTTGGCTGCAGAACGCTGTGACAAGTCCCCATCTGCTCATATATAACCGCGCGACATTGATGTATGTGGGGGGAAGGAGATTGACAGCATACCGAAAATAATTGAAGCACTGCTGTCTTGGTAAACGCCTGCGGTTGAGAAGCCACCGCATGCTCAGTTCCCTTCCCCACACTGGTTGTGTACCCAAGCAAGTTTTCGAGTGATCGTGCTTTCTTCACACGTAAGTTCGGTTGCCCACATGAGCTGCTCCAGAATTTTGAGCACATGCACCCACAGCCTTCCTCACGCCCTCCCTTCGGAGAGCACTTGCTTGTGTCTCTCATGTAGCTGTCTTCGTGCCAGTGCTTTTTCGCGTGTTTTTTGTGACATGCCATGGCATGAATGGGGCTGCAGGAGGTAGGGGCGCTCGTGGCCCGTGATTTGATCACACTTTATGTATGTATGTATGTATGTAGTATTTCAGCAGATCCTCGCGAACGGACGCATTGTGGGGATGCGGTGAAATTTTGGTACGTTTGAGAGGAATGCAAAATTTGTGAGACCCGACTCTGGGGATGTTTGCTGATTCCGTACAGATATGGATCGCATGTATTGCAAGGCAGCAGGTGCTTCGGTAGGAGTAGTGCAGCGACAACGGCTGCCTGTCCAACCCTGTGCTGGGCTCTTCCGTGGCCCCCTTGCGATTTCAGGGCTACTGCGCGCGACGCAACCGTTTTACTCACTTTGGGCTATTTTCCGTCTTCAGACCTAATCTTGTTACGCATTGCACAAATCCTCGAGTACGGACATGTTTATCATCTTGATGTGGAGATGCAGTGGAATATTCTTACGTTTGAGGGAGAAACTTTCAACAGAACCAGGTTAAAATGGTTCGAAGAACGCCCACCTACACTTTAATGAGATACGACTCCGCAGGGGGATATGCTTGATTCTCGTCAGATATAGTCGGAAAATGCCACATGAAGCACCCGACAGCAAGTGCTGCGGTAGTGCAGCGACAACGGTTGCACGTGTAGCCCAATGCTGGGCTCTTTCGTGGCCTAAATGTTATTTCAGCGCTTCTGAGCGACGCAACCGGTTCTTCCCCCCCCCCCCCCCCCCCATGATTGCTCCCCCCCCCCGTTGTGTTTCGATGAAAATGTCATCTCGCTCCCCCTCCTATTCGCCTCTTGTCTGTTTGCTTTATACCGGTGCTGCACGCATGGCATGCTCGGACCTCAGGAGCTGTTTTCCAACCAGGTTTGTTGATACGTAGGTGACAAGCGTGCTCGACCTCCGTATGAATATGATTTCTTTGCCGCGGATCGATGGTGCACGCGGAGACGATCATTTTGGTTAAAACACATAATTCTAGAATGCGAGATCGAGCATTCATCATGTAGTCTAGAACGCACACAGGGAGGAGTACGGTGTCCTTGCTACTCTTTGTTCCATTCCAAAAGACCCGAACAGAGTTGGTATTCGTGGATCCCAACCCTCCACATCTGGCGTGGTGAATCGAATTTCTGGTCTTCCCGACGCCCACGAAAAAACTACAGACCGTGTGGAACAGCAGTCGAGGAGTAGTCACCTGGTGGCCGGTGCACGAGATCCACACTTCAGCAACAAGCCCTTTTTTTTTGCCCAGGTGGTTGCACAACGCTGTGTCGAAGTCCGCGATTGCTCATATATAGGCGTGATAATTGATTATGGGAGGAGGAAAGCTGACCGCATACCGCGATAGAATCGAAGGCACGAATCAAAGAAGTATTGCCATGTGGGGCCGAGTGGAAAGGGCCCCGACCGTGCGGCTCTGGCTGTAACCCTGCTCTGGTTTTTTGTGTTTTGTTTTGTTTTGTGTGGTTTTGTTTCGTTTTCATCTGGTCAGGATGCTCACCTTGGCTTTTTCGTCGATGATGACCCCCACTCAATGCCTGTACCGCACGCACTCTGCCGGCGTCATTTCTCGTCGAGTTCGCAAATAATAACCATGTGTTGTACGCCGGTTGTTGTGTAACCGAGGAGCTGCGTGTTGTACATACACCAGCTGTGGTGTTTTTTGTTGGCGTGATTATTTTTCAGAAGAAACTCAGCATAAAAGGGCTTCGTGTCCATACTCACTTGCAATTCGATCGCCAAGGGTCCCTTTTTCCGTTCCCTGGCTGGCGAAGGTGGCAGCTGGGTTTGCTCGTGCCTCTTCCATCAGTGGAGATTGTTTGGGAGAAGAGTGTAAATAGCATTACGGAGGGTCGAGGTTTTTTCAATCGTCTTGCGCGTTCGGTCGAACTACATTTATGCGTACGGTAGTACTCCAAAACATGGGTGTTTGCTCCATACCTCTGAGCGTGTCCGCAGCTACCTCTTTTTGGCATGGGTGACGTTTTTTTCGCGGCGTGGTCGTCAAAGACCAATCCGTTGGAACAATCCGTGGGAATTTTTCAACGAAATATAGGCCCAAAATCCGCCGCATTTCGTCCACGGATTTTGTTTGTTTTCCCGCCGTCTTGATCGTATATCGAACGTTATTTTGCGTACGGTAGTGCGGTGTACTCGAAATCGTGGGGCCTAGGCCTGGTCATTGCTCTGGTTGTCAATCGTTTATAATTTAGCTTCAAAATTCAAAATTCCAAGGCCAGGGGCCCAAGAGAGAGAAATAGGTGCAATCGTTACACACCCGTTTAGACGTTGTTTTATTTCCGCATGTGTTCAGTGTTGGGATCGATTTTCTACTCGTCGTTCAGTGGCCGCGTCTATTGTCGGGGCCTTTGAACAATGAGCCACCCTCTGACCTCTGCGGTCTTTGCCTCGCGTTTCGTCGTTCCTTGTCACGTGGGCCTACTACACTATCGGCCGCCGCACTTCTTGGATGACTTGGGCGGCAACTTCACATGATGGCCCAACGCAGGTGTGTGATAAACTCCCTGTTTGAGTACCGGCGTAGTCTATCACGTCGTACCGTTACTCATTGTGTCTTGTCAGGATTAGGACACCGCTGTTGTAGCGCAGATTGTGCACAACCAGGAGTGCACGAAAGACCCTACGTTGAGTGTACGGCAAGAGACACGAGCGAATATTGCGCACCCGTCCTTGGGGGACACGGCGCGTCTCTTGGGACATTTAGGGTCTTCGTGTGTAGGTAGGAGTAGGCGTTGGACGTGGATAGGCTGAAGCCCCGCTGCGAAATTGTTCGCCACTTTCGTTGGCACAAAAATTGCAAGCCTTTGCTCCAACTGTGCGAATATTGGCAAAAATTGAGTGTGCAAACTTTTGGCCGAACGTTTCGCAGCCGGAGAGCCAAGATCCACCCCCGGCAGTGTCGCAGAAGTACTTGAAATGATGAGTACTCGCGGGCACTTTTTCTCCACAACGAAGTTTAAAACGTGCAGTGTCCGTCTTGCGTATATACACAGCAACTGGAACTCCCGCGCGCCGAGTGGTCAAATCGACACACGCAGCACCACTGGGATCAACCTTACTACTTTCGCTGGCAGACGACAAGGCCGACAAAGAACGAGGGTCAAAACGCGACTTGTTTACTGTTGTGTGCCATCTTCACCGCTTTGCTGACAAGTGGTGTTTTCAATGGCACCAAACTTGCTCGAAAGTGGGTTTGGTCTGTAACCATGGCATGCATTCGGACCTTGGATATCCTTCTAATCTTTCATGCTCATCTTCGTATGTTGACCCGCAACGAGCCTATCGATTTGTTCATGTCTCGTGACTTTGACGAAGGAGGGCCAGTCAGGCTATATGCTTGATGCAGATGCCCATCATTTTTCCCTTGTGCGACTGCTCTAATCGGCTTCGCCGGCGGAAAAATGTTGCTCATCAACGCTGTCCAACACTTTTCTATTCCGCCATGGCCGTCTTTGATCCTCTTCCCGTTGCAGCCGATAAGAACGTAACGGA